TCGCTTTGCTGGTTAAGGAACCAGTGTTGTTAAGGAAAGTGTATAGACTTTATTATCATAAAAACAAAAAGTTTTTTTGAGAACATCTGTTTTTTGGGTTGGTAAAAGGATTAGCAGAAAGAGTTTTATAATAAAACAATAGTTATTTGTTGTATATAATATTTACTTTTCAATATTATTTAGTATAATATACTATGTTACAAAAATTTTTTTATTAAAAAACCATAATCAATTTACTTTTATTAATTGATTATTATCTCAAACTTAATTAATTACTATCACAAACTCAACCAATCAAATACTATTAAATATTAAAACAATTTTATACAATCAAAATATTATATAATAATCAATATAAACAAAATCAGTTTTGATAGCTATAGTCAAAAAAAATTATATCACCTATCTATAGATTAATTATCTTATCAATTATTAATTATATCAACATAACAACAATAATAACTACAATAACAAATCAAACTATATGTACTTTATTATTCATGTCAATAAAAATTATATTTACAAATAATAAAGAACTAGAGAAATAGGATAATAAGCTTAGTTAAGAATTCTCTTAGAAATATAATTTTTTTTTTAAGATTTTATAGTTTATCTAATTTTATTTTAGTTATTTACTTTTATTTTTTTTCTTTCAAAAAATTTTTTTTTCAAATTTTCTTTACATCTTAAACATTTTTCTAAATAGATAAGTATAGCTGCTACTTGGCCTATATTTAGTAACAATATTTTTTTAAAATTTTTTTTCAGTATTAGCTATTTATAGTATTTGTAAATAGGTTAACATTTAACTTGTTGTATACTTTATATTTAAAAGATATTATTTTTTTCTAAATATATATCTTGTAATATACAAATAAAGAAAGAAATGATATTTATCTATAGAAAAAAAAATAGATATAAAATAATACTTATTAATATTATTTTGAAAATTATATTATATATAAAATTACATATATTGTATTAAAATAATTTTGGCCAGAATTAAGTTTAATTTGGGCTGAAATTTAAAATACATTTCTGGATATTATTTTATACTTTATTTCAAAATAATGTATATAAATGTATTCAAAATAACATACAGATCAATTAAATAAAGTACAGATGAGCGTTATTTTATGCTTATACAGTAATTTGTTATATTTCTAATTAGATAATAAAATATAAATAGACTGTTGATTAGTATATTATGAAAAAATATTTTAATAAAATATTAAATATTCTATTTTAAAAAATCAATTAAAATCATAAATATAGAAAATAATGCAGTATAATAATTTTAAATTCAGTTATAAATGCTATAGCTAAAACAAGTAAATCAAATATAATGGATAACTATAATAAATTGTATAATAAAAATATTTTATATTTATTAAATTTACTGTATATTCTAACAATCATTAAAATCATTAAGTTATTTGAAAAAATGGTATATATTAAAGAAAGAAAATTTACAAGTTGCAATAATTAAAATTTAAGGCATTATATCTTTGTTGTCATTAGATAGGAATCAATGGATTTAATCATAATAATTTAAACTTGTTTATCAGGTCTTATAAAAGTAATACTAAGACAAGTCTGCAATAAAACATTTTGTAGTTCTCACAAAATCATCAACCGGCAATCCCAACTTCCAATCAACATGTCCGGCGCCAAGGTAAAGTACCGGTGGATGAAGTTCGGTTATAGATTTAGTCAGTATTATTGGGATATCTTGGTTCATCCCTTATTTTTGCGTGACAAGTATGAAATGATTAAGATTGACTTAGCATAATGAACTCTCAAGAAAATGTCGCAGTTGAAATAACTTACCAATGGGCGATACACCATTATTATCAAACCCTGTCAGTTGAAACGATTTCTGACGATAGTTTCGAGACGGAAAATTATTATGAAAATTTTTGATTTTTGAACACTCGATGAAATCATTTGGTTCGAACTCATCTTACCTCCGCATCAGCTACACGAAAATTGTAATTCTTTTTACTAATGGATTTATTCTTTAAGCTTCGTACATAGTTCATCAATTTCTGCGTATTTATGGATCCTACATACTATGTAATGGAAAACGAAGCACGATTAACGAAGTTGATTAACGTTTCTCATAAATAGAATAATTAATGACACACTTGTACGATAACACAGTAATATCTAGAATTCAAAGGGTCTAAAAGAACAGAATTTTCTATTCAGTAAATAATTCGATGATAAAACATGAATTCTAAACCTACCATCAATTGTTTCGTGTGGACATCGTGTATTCTCGAAAATAACACTTTTACAAAGATGATCTACAGATGGCGCCACCAATCGGAACCTAATTACATTTAGGGGACGTAAAGAACAATTTAACGTGGATCGATAAAAGCATATAATCTTTCGTGCAGTCTCAAGGAATCCCGCCTCGAAATATGACAAAGATGCTATGAAACCTACACACGTCTCTGTAACTCCCACTCGTAATAATCCGATTCTACTTGGTAAAATCTCGATACATTTCTTATGCCCAATATTGAGCACGCGTTTTCTACCTATTAGTTTTAGTAAATTAATTATCATGAATTTTTTTTTTAAAAAAAAAAAAGAAAAGTAATAACCAATGAAAAAATTTCTGAATTCTACATATATCATAAGTTCACAACTTTTCATACTTTATCATATTTAAGATATCATACTTTCTTCACATTGTCCGGTGCTACCGAATCAAGTTTCGTAGTTTCGGCGAGTCGCTTAAAATACTCGAGATAGAGTCTTTCAATTTTTGGTGCTGCGTAAATTACTTTAATTTGTTCTATTAGGTTTTGTAGTTGCTCTTCGATTGATGGTGAGGAACACATTTTACGTTCAGACATCAAATATCAAAGCATGATCAATGAATATATGTAATATCACGTGGAAATATGTGACGTTGCTTCATATTTTTTGACCTATTACATTATTAGGCCACCAGTTTCTATTATATTATCGATCATAATGAATTTTTGACGAAAGTAATAAAAAGCATTTAGCATAGTTAAAATAGATTCATTAAAGGCAATTATTCTTTAAATATGCAATAAATTCATCCTCCACCCAACAGAACTCGACAATCTATTTAATTACTAAAATAACCAATTAATAGAATAGATTTTACCCTAAACATAATCGATTATTTTTTGAATCTGCATAAAATTTACGTCTCAACGCTATGAACGTCTTTCATTATGCATATTGATAAATACCATCCTGTCCGTTCCAGATTTGGATTTCCTTGGAGAGGCCTCAAGTTGGAGTGATAACTCATCAAAATCCGGCATTTGCGCAAGCCAATCTATGATCTTTTGATAGTCTGACTTATCTCCATCTGTTTGATTATTACCGTTGTTGTTAGAATCTTGAATTATGTTACCATTCATGACCTGATGAGTTTGGATGCTTTCCTTCGTCTTGCATCTACCGTAAGTAGTATCAAAAGCGATAATCTGTTCCTCTTCCTTTTTAATCCATGAAACTTGTTTTGTTAATTCGTTCGATTGATATCCATCCGTGATTGTTAAATCAAGGTCATCTGACATTATGGTCGTATCTGAACTCAACTGTTCGTCTTGAGAAGTTAAAACTGATGCGCTGGACGATTGAAGAGCATTTTGAGCAGTCCACGGATTAGGAGATGGAGGTCGAACATGCGGAAAGATTGCAGGCGCATTGCTGTGAGGTGAGAAGCGCTGAGTTGAATTATAATGAGGTGCAAAACGGTGAACTGTGTTACGTTGAACAATATTGTTCTGAGACTCTGTATTTTGAGCTATATTAAAACTTTGTGTCATGGGAGTGTTCTGAGATGCGACTTGTGGTGACGTATCGTGTTGCGGTGCAATGTATTGAGATGAAAATTGTTGCTGAGATCCGAAGCGTTGAGGTACATTGTGCAGATACACAAAATCATTTGAGGATTGAGTGTCTTGCACGTTATGTTTTGCTTTTTTTGATTTTCTGACATTTTCTGACGGTTTTTTGATGTTCCTGTAAACGCCATTTAGAAAACAGCACTCATATTCATCAGGAATTGTCCAGTATTGTCCCTTGCTAGGACCAATGTTATCATTCCGCTCGATTTTCTGAAAAGCAGGACAAAGAGAAAGATTGTGACGGATCGAATTCTACGTTGCATTTGTAGGATGAAAGATCTTGAGCGACTTTTACATGTACAGTAATTGATAACTAGATAATAGTTTGACTTCATACCTGCCAACCTTTATTTTCTTTCCTGAAGAATGGATAAGTTTTCGTGATCCAATTATAGATTTCACAAAGGGCTAACTTTTTATTTGGGGCTTGAAGGATAGCTTGACCGATGAGCGAAGAATAAGTGTAAGGTGGCTTTGTATGAGGATTCGTTGACTTTTTTTCAGTATCATCAGCATCAGCCTCATTAATATTATTAAGATCATCAGTTTCATCCTGCTCTACCTCTTGTAGATTTCGCTATTTATGAAATAATCAATACGTTAGATAAATTACACTCTTATGAACTCCAAGTACAGCACTATCTTGTGATTTCAAAAAAACATTTGAATTTGTTTGTTAAATGTCACATGTATTTCTCAGTTAAATGAAAATTGTTTACTAAAGTTTCCCACCTTAAGTAGAGCCTTGTTATTTAGGTAAGCATCCATCGTCATCGCTCCACTACGTAAGGCTTGTACAATTGACGTTTTGATTGGGGCGATTTGACGTTCTTCAGAGTGATTTTTACCGTTGACCAATGAACGATCATTCTGTGTCTCTGGTTGGTAACTATGGATCGACTTGTAATTCGGTGGTTGAGAATCAGCAGTCTCTGATTTAACGGAGGCAAAGTTGGGATCTTCAGTTACTAAACTCGGGTCACTCATTTAGTTTTAGATTTATTATTATCCGTAAACTAAACAAAATTAAATACAACTAATAAACTTTTTTTTTTTTCTTTCTCGAAAAAAAAAAAATAACAGATGAGTTTATCTTTAACGGTAGATTTTTTGGTAAATCTCTTAAACAATTAGAAGCTGATGAAAAAATTTTTTGGGTTTTATCGATTTTTGGAAATCAAGTTGCACAAGAATTCCTTGTCAAAAAACACGTCTTGCAAATGCGGAAAAAATTGACGCGTCAAATGCTGCGGAACTAAACTTGTAATTCAAGATCAAATATTTACATTTATGTATTGTTGTGTAACAATCATGCCAATGTCAAAAAAAAAAAAAAAAATCAAAACAACACAGAAACTGTTACGTTATTTTCTTTCCTTATTATCGTGGATGATCAATTAACAATCACATGATGGGTCACTGTCCAATGGAAGTTGAAAGACATACCAAATTTTCTTAATGACATCCAAGATATAATAATAAGAAAATAAATAAATTTTTTTTAAAATTGAAAGTTTTAAATAAAATAAAAATATATTATTGTTATTAAAAAATATAAAAATATTTATTTTAAATCAACAATAAATTAATAATAATCAAATATAACATTGTTAAAATTATTTACAAGTATTTGAAAATATAATTATTTGTATTGTAAAATCAAAATAATTAAATAATTAATTATGATTTAAAATAATAAAAAATTCTTAAAAATTTAATAATAAATAAGGTTAATAATATAATTAATTCAAATATTTTTAAATTTGAAATTTATAATATAAAAAACAAAAAAAAAGTTTTTTTTTCTTTTTTTATTATTTATATTATATTTTTAAAAAATTTTATTATATAATAAAAATCAACAATTATTATAATATTAAAGTTTTAAATTAATAATTAAAAAAAATTTTTTTAATATATAACTGTATTATTTTGTTATTATAATTTATATATTTGAATTCAAATTAAATAAATAATTTGAAAAAATTTATTTTGATTTTTAAAAAAATTATATAATATTTAATATACGTATATAATATACAAATAATTAAAATTAAAATAAAAAAAATAATAAATTTGATATTTATCTAATTTTTAAAACTTAAAAAAACTTACTATTTATATTAAATCAGTTTCTTATATTATATTATATTATATTATCTTATCTTGTATATATTAAAACAATAAGCTAAATAATGTAAATAATTTTATGCAACTATAAAATTTAAAGCTCAGATATTAATTATAGCAATGCTAATTTTAATTTAACTTTTATATTATAGTAAATTACAAATTTAAAAATATAAGCAATAAATTATAAAAGTATTGACTTTTACTATATTAAATTTGACATTTAAATAACAATAATAAATTAAAAAGTATATATTTTATAAAAATAATTATATATATTATATATATTATATTGTCTATAAAAGAATTAAATTATATTAAATCCTAAGTCCCGAAGCAGTGCAAGATTACAATAATTATAATAAAAGTTAATATATAATGGTATTTTTTAAATACAACATTGTTAATTTAATTAATAGGACCTTTATCAATTAATAATATTGTTTAATCAGATATTAATGATTGTACTGTAGTTGTTAATTTAGTACATGCTATGAATTTAATAATATAATTTTATTCGGAATTGCTGGATAAGTATTCAGATAAAACACATTATGTTAGCATTTGTCTCATGTTAATTTGCTTTTTTTATCAAAATTATACTAGAGTCTCAAATGATTAAAGGATTATATTATTTTAGTTGCATTTTTTTTTGATTGAAATGTGGTTTTCTAGTCGATAACTGAACAAAAGCCTTAAGTCATTTCCTTAAGATTATGTATACTGTATTTTACATTCAAATTCTTTATTTCAACGTAACTTCATAATCTTCAAGAGCCTTTTCCTAAAGCACTTTGAAGAGCTTCATAAACTTCAACCTCAATCCTAGCAATGTTTTTTTCTTCTTCTGATGAATTTGAAGCCACTGTTCGTTGAGCTTCTGCCAACCCTGTTCTGACGGCCTTTTTTTTGTATCAATTGAATATGATATCAAGACAAGTTATATAAACGGATAGCAAGATACAGTGTTATTATGTAAACCGTGTTACCTCGATTGAAAAGTCTTCCAGAGGAAACGCTTCTACGGCGTTAATGTCAAGTGATGAATTACTATTGATGATGGCAAATCCCCCACTAACTAGATAACAATTGATAATATACAGTTATTGCCCTCCTTTTTTTTATCATCCATTGTATATTCGTGGTCTGATACATTATTATATTTATACAGTGTAGTACTCACCAAAAAACTTTTTCGTAGTAGTGGCATTCTCGAGTACTTCAATTATACCTGGTTTCAATTGTTCGATAGATGGAACATGATTGGCAAGAATACCCATATCACCAGCAGTTGACGAAATGTTAACTTGTTGGACGTCAGCATTTTGATAAATAGTCTGCAGATATAATCATAGGCATTTAACAGAAAATTATTAGGACATTAACATTGTTGTTCTATTTCTTTCTTGCTCGGAGGTTTCTAATTTGTAAATACTACTTGATTTTTAATCTTTCTTTGAAAACTCGATGGAATTTACCTGGTGAGGTAGTGCAAAGCTAAATTTTAGGTTGTTGGAAGGTGCCTCATTAGCATAGAAGCGAGCAGCTAAAATTGGTTTCGCGAATAAGTTTAAAAACAGCATAATTCTAAAAAAAAAAATAATAATATTTTCTTAAAATCACTGAAAAATATATCTACATACCAGGAGTGTAAGGCTTTATCCGGAAGGCAACTCTCGCGGCTCTAGTAAAGAAGTTCATCTTAGATGCAGCAAAATTTAAAATCGTCGTAAACTTATTGGAAACTGAGTGTAAGCACATGACAGATAAAATGGTTTTATTATCACGTGGTACAGGTCTATCATTAAGTTCTACTGTAAACTGTGCTTCAATTTTAACAAAAACTTTGTAAACTTCATTCAAAATGGATCCCTCACAAGTTCCCAATCTCTATAAACAACAACGAGGTCCTCCAAAGGTATCTCGAGCGAAATTTTTTGATGATTTCATTGATAACTTTTTAATTGATATTTTTCGTATACGATTCAAAATTAGATCAAAAATAAAACTCCCGCGCCCATCCAAATCACAGCCGAACAAATCCTCCGTGAGGCAAAGGAACGTCAAGAGGCAGCTAGAAAAGAACCTCGTCAAAAGATCTCTGACTTAGAAGAATTATCAGAATATCGTCTGCGTAAGCGAAAAGAATTTGAAGATTCCATTAGGAGGAACAGACTAAACATCGGAAGTTGGCTAAAATACGCAACATGGGAAGAAAGCCAAAAGGAACTAAACAGGTACACCCTAAAAATTCACATTGTTACCAATAAAGTAATTAAGACTTGCGAATTCTAATCATTTTTTTTTTTTTTAAAGAGCACGTTCGGTGTACGAAAGAGCTCTAGATGTAGATTCTCGAAATGTAACCCTGTATATTAAATATACCGAAATGGAAATGAAAAATCGTAACGTTAATCACGCAAGAAATTTATTCGATCGCGCTGTGACGTTATTACCGAGAGTCGACCAATTTTGGTATCTTTTTTCAAAAAAATGTCTTATGTAATATTTGAAATTTGAAATTGACCTTTTTCTTTGGCGATAAAGGTATAAGTACACGTATATGGAAGAAATGTTAGGTAACATTGCTGGAGCTCGACAAATATTTGAGCGTTGGATGCAATGGGAGCCCGATGAATCAGCATGGAATGCTTATATAAAAATGGAAAGAAGGTACAATGAAATTGATAGAGCGAGAGCAATTTACGAGAGATTTGTTAATGTACATCCGGAGCCGAAGAATTGGCTTAAATGGGTAAAATTTGAAGAAGAACAGCATAATTTAGGTATGAAAATTCATTGTTTTCGGAGTCAATATTCTCGACAGAGATGATGACCTTTCTAATTATTTTTTTAGAAAAATGCAGAGAAATATATAGTCAAGCGATCGGGGCTTTAGGTGACGATCACATAGATCAAAAGATCTTCATCTCTTTTGCGAAGTTTGAGACCAAGCTAAAAGAAGTACGTCATTAAAATACATAACACAATATTGCTTATTTGATAATTTAACATAAAATGAATTTCCTATTTTTTTTTCGCAGTTTGAAAGAGCTCGAATTCTTTATAAATATGCATTGGAAAAACTACCACGTTTAAAGTCGGAAGCGCTTTACAATGCGTACACTCAATTCGAAAAACAATATGGTGATAAAGAAGGAATAGAAGACGTTGTCATCGGCAAACGAAGAGTTCAGTATGATGAAGTATGTTTGATCAACGACCTGTCGGTCATTAATTTGTTAGTTCAGTTTATTATCTCATATTAAATATGTTTTTGTCATAAATTTAGGAATTAAAGTCAAATCCAAAGAACTATGATATATGGTTCGATTATGCGCGATTGGAGGAAAATGTCGGAGATACTATGAAAGTTCGAGAAATTTATGAACGCGCCATTTCACAAGTACCACCAAACCAAGAAAAAAGATTCTGGAGGCGATACATTTATTTATGGATAAATTATGCATTATACGAAGAGCTTGAGATAATGGCAAGTTAAAAAGATCGATTATTTCTTTAAAAATAAACCTTCTAATGTTATTCCTACGTAACAGGATTATGAGCGGACTAGACAAATATATCAAGAATGTCTTAAAATCATACCCCACAAAAAATTTACATTTGCAAAGATATGGTTATTATATGCTCAGTTTGAGGTAAGACAGTTAGATTTGACGACTGCCAGGAAGACCTTAGGAAATGCTATAGGTATTGCATAACATCTTATTTTGTATTCGCGTCAGATTAAAAAAAAGTAAATAACTCCATTATAAAATAGGTCTTTGCCCAAAAGATAGGCTTTTTAAGGGCTACATAGAATTGGAATTACAGGTAACGTCGACTCGTTAAATTCAACAAAATTACTTTTTAATTAACTGTGCAACTTTAAATTTAAAGCTTCGGGAATTTGACCGTTGCCGAATATTATACACAAAGTACTTAGAGCATAACCCTGCTAATTGTTACGCGTGGATAAAATTTGCTGAACTTGAAAGGATGTTAGGCGATTACGATCGTTGTAGAGCTATTTTTGAGCTTGCAGTCGATCAACCAATATTAGACATGCCAGAGTTATTATGGAAGGCATACATTGACTTTGAATTTTCCGAAGAAGAATATGAGAAAACGCGACAGCTTTATAGGAGATTGCTGGACAAAACTGGTCATGTTAAAGTGTGGATTAGTTATGCACAATTTGAATTAAATGCCGATGTAGAAAATCGTGAAGCTGCGGTGGAACGCTCACGAAAAGTATTTGAAACAGCCTATAAGAGTATGAAAGAAAAAGGACTTAAAGAAGAGGTAAATTTTTTCCCATCTATTTTCCTTACAAGTGCCCACCTTTTAAACTAAGTTACCGGCATATGCGTTTTATGTTTAGCGCGTTCTTCTCCTAGAATCATGGAAGGATTTTGAAAGTAATAATGGCACGCAAAAAACATTATCTATTGTTGAAAGTAAATTGCCTAAAGTTGTTAAAAAACGAAGAAAATTGGATGAAGCTGAAGGGCAGGCAGGTGTCGCGTGGGAAGAATACTATGACTATATATTCCCCGATGACCAAGCGCAACAACCTAACTTCAAACTGCTGGAACGTGCTTATGCTTGGCGGCAGCAGGTATGTCTATCTTTATTTTATTTTTTTTAATGTATCTTTTTTCTATTATTCACACATTAATAAAACTTTATAATTGAAACTTCCCGCATTTTAGCAATTACAACAGAAAAATGATGAGGAATCTGAACAGGTTGATCAACAAACTCAAAACAAATCTGAAACACCATCTTCTCCTGAGATATCTTCCACGCAACCAAAGGAATCTCCACGGTCATCCTCCGGGCCGAATTCTCCTGATTCAGCAAATCTATTGAAATCTCCATAACATTTAGACGTACACTATAGCTTTCACTTTAGGATAGAGGAAAATATTATCAAATATTTCGTCTAATTCACGTAACTAAGTACCCGTTTGTAAGTTTGAAATCTTTTGTGATAAAAATTTTCATAAAATCTAGAATAAAAAAAAAAAATCATAATTTGTAATTTATACTATTATTTTAAGTATTTAAAATTAATTATAAAATACATTTATACAAAGTAAAACGAAGATCATTTAAAGTTACGACCTCCATAGTGATTTCACGTGATGATAATTCTTGATTGATTTCACGTGAAAACAGTCGAGATCGTAAAGTGGAGATTTGAGTCTAGCATTTACCAAACTATGACTTCAGGTAGATATTTTTTGCGTTTAAAAAAGACAATAAATATTTATTCCCGTGTTTCTCTTTCGTAGACAAACTTTATATCCTCGTGATTGGCTCAGGTGGACGTGAACACGCCATTTCCTGGAAGTTAGCTCAATCACCGAGAGTAGAACGGATATTTGTAGCTCCAGGTTTACTACTTGAATTATCTTAGTTTATGAACAATAATTCTGCAAAGGAATGTTAGCTAACGTGTTTAAATCAAGGTAACGGCGGTACAGAATCTGGACTAAATAAAGTGTCCAACATTAACATTGGAGTTACTGAATTCGACAAATTAATCCAATTTTCACTGGATAATAATGTATTCTTTTTTTGTGTTGATTCTTTTTCTTCAAAAGAGGATATTAAATCCAAATCTACGCGTTATTAGGTAAATCTGGTTGTACCCGGTCCCGAACAGCCCCTAGTTGAAGGTATCGAACTCGCATTCAGAAAATGTAAGTTATTATAATAATTGAAATACGCTGTGATCATATATTATGCATCAAAATATTAACGATCAAAATAGTCGGTATTCCATGCTTTGGTCCATCATCAAATGCTGCCATAATGGAAGGATCCAAGACATTTTCCAAAGATTTTATGAAAAGACACGGCATTCCTACTGCCGCTTATGAGGTTACTATTTACGAATAAAAATTTGATATAAATTTGTAATGTCACTTAATAGTCTCAGCTTTTGTACACTGAATTTTATTTCTAGAATTTTTCTGATTACGAGAAGGCTAAAAATTATATAGAATCCGTCCCTCACAACGTTGTTATCAAGGTACTATCATGGTTTTCTAATTTGTTATTTATTATATTTTTTAAAACTATATTTGATCAATTCAAACTTTATTCTAGGCCTCAGGTCTTGCAGGTGGTAAAGGCGTCATCATTCCAACTAACAAACAAGAAGCTCTGAAGGCACTAAAAGATATAATGGTTGATAAAGTATTTGGTTCAGCAGGTAATAAATTTCCATTTTGGAGGTTGGATCCGGTTATTTTTAGTTTTAAATAAGATTAAACCAGTTTAAAAATCCACTCATATATTAAAAAACGAATCCGGATCCAATCTCTAGTTCATCTCGTTTTTTTTTAAAGGAATTAACTAATAGTCATTTACTAGGCGATGAAGTTGTGATTGAAGAATTTCTTGAAGGTCAAGAACTGAGTGTCTTGGCCTTCTCGGATGGATACACCATTGTACCCCTTCCACCTGCGCAGGATCACAAGCGTATTTTTGATGGAGATCAAGTATGTGTTCTTAAATTCTCTACTTTGATTTACTATCACTCATTTATTTGATTAACTCTAATCTTCAGGGGCCAAATACTGGTGGCATGGGTTGTTATTGCCCAACTCCAATTGCTACATCAGAACTAAATACTCAAATTAAGAACACAATTCTCCAGCCTACTATCGATGGCATGCGACGTGATGGTCGGTAATCACGCGTTTTTCTAGTAACCTGTTTCTTCAAAACTATATTTTTACGTGTCTTATGTTTTTTAAAGGTTTTCCCTTTGTTGGAATGCTCTTCACTGGACTTATGATAACTAATTCTGGTCCAAAAGTGTTGGAATATAATGTTCGCTTTGGTGATCCGGAGACAGAAGTCACGTTGCCGCTTTTAAGTGATGATACGGACTTGGCGGAAATTATGCTGGTATTTATTAAATGAATGTTGTTTCTATAATACTCTTGTTTCACATATATCTATTATTAAAGGCCTGTGTAGAGAGACGGTTAGATTCAATCCGGGTTAAGACAAAACCGGGTTTTGCGGCTGTTGTTGTTATAGCATCTGATGGTTACCCCGGAAGCTACATTAAAGGAAAAGAAATTTCAATAGCGGAAGTTCCATCGGGTAAGTTGAAATCATTATATAATAGAATTTATAGAGTTTAACTTTATAAATTTCATAATTTTTTAGATGTGATAATCTTTCATGCCGGCACTAATTTAAAAAACGGTAAACTTGTTACATCGGGTGGACGCGTTTTTGCAGTTTCTGGAATAGCAAATACATTGAGAGGAGCTGTTGATAAAGCGTATAACGGTGTTAAAGTTATAAATTTCGAAAAGATGATTTATCGAAAAGATATTGCTCATCGGTAGTTATGTTACCTTTCATGATTATCCTCTAGTAATAACTCCAGATTAATATTAATTATATATATATTACTTTACATTTATTAAGCGCTTTTGCATATTTAGTCCATCAACCTGCTGTTGATGATGCAATGACGTACGCGTCTGCGGGTGTTTCTATTGATTCTGGAAATCTTCTCGTTAAAAAGATTAAATCCCTAACGAAAAGTACACAGCGTCCTGGAACTAATTGCGAAATAGGAGGTTTTGGTGGCCTCTTTGATCTAAAGGAAGCCGGATTTGAGAATCCAATTTTAGTATCAACCACTGATGGTGTAGGTACTAAATTAAAAATTGCTCAGGTCGTCGGAATTCATAATACTATTGGTTTGTATATTTTGCATTTTTCCTGACTATTCATTATCTACTATGATCTAATCGAATGTTTGTAGGTATTGACCTTGTCGCGATGAATGTTAACGACCTTGTTGTGCAAGGTGCTGAACCTCTATTTTTCCTTGATTATTACGCGTGTGGCAAATTAAACGTCGACGTCGCACAAAGCGTAGTTGAAGGCATAGCAAACGGATGCATCGAATCTAATTGTGGATTGATTGGTGGCGAAACATCAGAAATGCCTGGAGTTTATGGTGAAGGTACAGTAATACGATGCTCGGTTCATTCGTCGAAAGTTCTATTTTTTTAATTGACGCAATAATTTTTTTAGAGGAATATGATTTGGCAGGATTCGCGGTGGGTGCCGTAGAACGGGGAAAAATTCTTCCACGTATTTATGATATAAACGTTGGTGATATTCTCATTGGGATCGCGTCATCTGGACTTCATTCCAATGGTTTTTCGTTGGTTCGCAAAATTATCACTAGACTTAACATTGGGTACGAGTCCCCTTGCCCATGGAATTCAAATATTACTCTCGGTAAAAGTCTTCTCATACCGACCAAAATTTATGTTAAGCAATTAATACCGATTATTAAAAAGGGACTTGTCAAAGCCATGGCCCATATTACCGGTGGAGGCTTTGTAGACAATATACCAAGAGTTCTTCCTGGACATTTGGGAGTTATCATAGATTCAAAGTCATGGGAAATACCTCACGTGTTTAAATGGCTGGCAAAAAACGGAAACATACCGCCAGGCATGTATTCCCTTTTCTTTAATTTAGTATGACCACACCATAAATCATAAGCTAACTTCAGTCCACGAAATACAGAGGAACTGTTCCGAACGTTTAACTGTGGTATAGGAATGATACTAATCGTTTCAGCGGAAGATGAAAGTAATGTCATAGATTTATTGAAAAAGTATGATGATGTCTATAAAATTGGTCGAGTGGTAACGAAAGAATCGAATAATGGGAGGCAGGTTATCATCGATGGAATTACCGAAATATGTTAGTAATTAATTGAAAGTAGTACAGATTCCTACCCATTTGAAAGAATGATTTTTGTATTAAATCTTTATAAATGTAAAAATAAATTAAATAATTTTTAATGCCACCTTTTAACTATTCTATTTACATTCTAAGCTCAGCGCTAGACACCCAAACCCCTAATATGATGTTTATTAATATAATGACCCATTTCCAGTGACCAGGCAGAATATCCTTTCGTACTGCAATGTTGGATTTCACCCAATCACTCCCCATAGGGTTACAAAACATTCCGTTTGTTCCATTAGACGCATTATTATTGGGACCCATCATACCGTAACTTGAAAGTAATAATGTCTTGTTTGGTGGGCACGCGAAAGACAATGTCACTGGACAAGATTGTGTTGTATTATAACACAAATCAATACAAGGCGGTACTTCGATGTAAGCACCAGGAACCATTTGACTATCGATGTCAGAAACTCGACTTTGATTAACTTCTCGTGTAATTCCTGTTCCATCTACATCACCACATCGTGGAATTGTCACAGCACAGATCCAATTCTTGTATGAAGCAAGACAATCATTAATATCCCGAACCAATGAATAATGCGATGTGTTAGATAATTGGGCAACTGAAATCGAGAAATTTTGATAATAACTCAATGCGAGATTATTGAAGAAATCAACGATTGTTGATACAGGCAATGCTGGATTTGCAGGTACTGAGTACGCCACTCTATCACAAAATGAAAGGCCAGTAATCAATCTACAATTGGTTTCTACATCAAAATAAATATGTTTACAATCAGACCAATACGGATAAATGAACATATCAACAAAGCATGATATTTAGAAATTTTAACTTACGAGATTTTGTTTTTAAGAATATTGGGCTGGACTTTGAAGGAACATTTTCTACGTTTGGTTGATTATATACGACTAAAGCCGTGTACTTTGTTCCATTCGTCAATTGTCTTATTGAGATTGTGATTCTTGATCCATAATTAGGATAAATAAATCCTCGTGTAGTCAAATTGTATGAAATTACAGCGTGAGATAATTTGTTGGATTGAAAATATTGAAATGCACACAAAGAATTCTGTAGGTCTTGTACGTAATTTGACTCTGCTATGTAAGTTGAAATTAGTGATGAATCAATATCCTGATCTATTCTAAATAAAGCGGTAGAATTATCTGTGTCCTCTAGCGCTATATTTGGTACTAATGATGGAATATAATGCATAGCTCCTGTTGAGAAAATTAAAAAACGGTAGATCAGTAAAATCATGTCAAACTTAATCAATTATTAAATTTTATTTCTTACGTTGTGTAGATGCACCAATCTGGAAGGTATAATTTCCTACGAGTCCGGTTTGAACTGGCGTAAATACTCCGATATAAATTATACGACTTGTGGATGTAAATTTTACATATCCGTTAGTTACGTCATATTGTGCCGTGTAATTGCTTGGGCCAGGTTGTGGATTTAACGGATCTTCGGAAACATAAACTTTTAATGATTTTGCAAATACATTGGCAGGTGTATTTGGATCAACGGGTATTCCGCATGTTGTTACGGTAAAATGTACCGTAGTAGAATTACTATGACTTAATGGAGCTTTGGAAGCGGGTAAAGCACTAGTACTCGTCTTTGGCCCAGTGGTTGAACTTTTCGCCGACGGCCGGCTAGTTGTTACTGCCCTGCCGAAAACCTTGGCTAGTCCACCGGATTTATCGAGTGTGAGAGAAACGAAAGAAGAGTTATACATGAAGTGTACATTTGAAGAACTTTCTGGGCCAAGTGTTCCATTTACTATTTGCGAGTCTGGTAACTGAATGGTTACATCTCGTTGGGTCACAACTTCTATTATTCCAAAGGTACATATTATCATGAAAATAAAGAATAATGCCTTATCATAAAGCTGATACTTTAGCATTACAAAAAAATTTTATTACTTTCTCTATTTTCGAGGAATGTGAAGTTTATAACAAACAGCAATGTAGATATAATGGTATAATTGGCAAAAAAAAGCTAATATTTATTGCAAGTCCAAAATTCGAAATTTGGTGAAACATTGGTTGAATGTAATAAGCCATATTATCAAGTTATTCCGAACAAGTTTTTTTTAAGTTAGAGTCTGATCATCGACTTTACCAATAGCATCGTCGACAGTTAATTTTTCTTATATAATAATATTAATAGAGGCTAATATAAACACGGGATTTTATATACTATAATTGTCCAAATCCAAACTATAATATGTCTATGCCAAAATTCCCATATTCTGATCAAAAAGGTTATTATCCGGGAATGTAACGTAGGACATATACAGTATATTTTTTTTATTTTTTACAAACTGAGGATTCCATGTGACATGTTTTTAAAATATTATCTGTTTTTTATTTTTGTATTTTTTAAAGATACTTAAAATTATATATAATAACTTCTTAATATTTCTTAAAATCTAATAATAAAACTTAATTATTTTTTTATTAACAATTCTAAGTAATTACTAATTTAAATTATAGCTAATTAAATTTAAATTTATTAATAAAAATTTAATCAAAGTTTTATTTATTTATTAATTTAATTTAATTTAATTTATTAATAAAAATCCAATATTTAATAATTAAAAAATATATATATTTAATAATTAAAAAAAAAACATTTGATAATAAAAACATTTGTAATTAAAAACATTAACTTTTTTATTAATTTTTAAATTAATTTAACTTATAAATCTATAATATAATATTTGGCATTTTATAAATCACATTGCAAATATAAATATAAATTTTTCATAAGTTAATATAAAATTTTTGATTAAAAACATTATAAATAAATTTTATATTTATCAATTTAAATATAAATTAATTAATATTTTTAAATATAGTTACTAATTTTTCTAAAAATTCTAAATTGATTAAATATTTAAGATTAAATAAAATTATTCTTAACATAATTATATTATTATAAAATAATAAAAAATAAATTTAAAACCAATAGTATATTATTAATAATTATATAATTTAATTAAAACCATTAGTAAAAATATTTATTTTTTAAGTCTATAACTATATTAAAATTTTATAAACTTAATTATTATATAAGATTTTAATAATAAAAAATTTTATTTAATTTAAAATAACAATAGAATCATTAACTCAATTATATAATTCAATTTGAAAATTATGCTATGGTATAATTAATACTTTACTTCTTATCAATATTAAATAAAATCTAAGCAAATCACTTAGTACTACTAACTTATTCTCATTAAAAAAAAAATATTATTATTATAAAAAATCTATATCTTAACAATATTTAAAATAAAATCATTATCAACTTATTTACAATAGTTATTAACTCTTTTATTTAATATAAATATAATTATTTCAAGTGTATTCAAAATTTAATATTATTTTTTTCAAGTATTATTCTTCTAATACTGAATAAATATTTATAACTGCTTAGTATTATATAATAAGATATATTGTTTTAATTATATAATTATTATAGGCAAGCTAATATTTAACTTATTATATTAATATATAAAAAATATTATTTTTTTTATGATATATATTTTGTTATATACCGATTAAATAAAAAAATAATGTTATCTATAAAAAAAAAATTATAAATTATTTTAAAAAATTAAAAACTAAAATTTAAAATATTAAATTTGATTAAAACTTAATAATATCATTTTAATATTACTTTAATATTAGTTTGATATTTAAATTTATTATAGCTTTATATACTGTAAGTAGGTTATAATTCATATATTAAATTTACTATAAATCAATATTATTTTATTACTATTTCTATATTTATGATATTTTCAGAATTTTAAATTTAATAATCTAATAATTAAACTATTTTAAATAAAACTATTTTATTTTATTTTATTTTATTTTATTTTTTTAATTAGCTAAGGGCATTAGATGCAAGATATTTATTAACATATGTTTTATTGTTATTATATCAAACATTTTTACAAAATAGATTATTGCTATCCTAAATGCAAATTAATGTTACCTGATGATCACCGTTTCCAGTAATCCCTGTGTCCCCTAGACCAATTATGATATATCCAGCTATACAAAATTTTAAATATCAAGTAGATGATCCACATGCCAGGTGGAACTTATATAGGAGATGAAAATCCCATCACTAGTTTAAACCACCTTCCTATTAGGTCCTGTCGTGACTACATCTGTCATGGGTAAGGCACATTATGGAATATTATTATAGAGATTAACATTAGTATTCCAGTCACTATTATCACTGATCCTCAGGATGTATCACTAGCATAATATAGTACTATCATTTTCACCACCTGTGGAACTGGCGTCCTTACTTGGATTCCAATTTAATCTTGTAGGTCCTCACTAGACACACTTGGCTTAACGATTTTTATCTAATATTCTTACTATCTGTGGCTGATACCTTGCCCTTCGATCATATGATTAAGTTCCATAGAACACCATTATTGGGATAGATTTATAAGCTCCAAATTGAAATAGAATGGCTTAGAATTAATATCTTTTTTTGGGATTATGTAATAAAGTCTGCCATTGCCAGTTTGAGTTAGAGTAGGCTTTTACCGAAGTTAGACCAGAAGTCTTTTCTTGTGCAACCTTTCATGCTTTGACCTGTTTTCAATCTGCAATCGTTGGAAAGACCAGAGGTCCCATTTTTATGCAGCCTAACTAAATTTGAAAGTAGATTATCAACTGATTGGGTACAACATAAATTGAAAGCCGGTCAATCAATTATAAGAGTGATAAATTTTTTGTAACCAGTTGGTGTTGAACCCTAAACCTTCTCCTGGTAACCTATGAAGCACTACCACTATACTATAGACCCATAGGTCTTAAATAAAACTATTTTAAAAAAATTTAAAAAGCAATTATATACAATATACATATTAAAAAATAATAGTTATATACAGTATAGTTACTTATATATAATAGAATTAAATTCAAATATTTTTTAAAAACTATATTATATTAAAATTACTAAGTAATATATAGTAAATAATTAAAAACCATATTTAATTTAAAATTATATTATCAATTAAGTTTCTTTTTATAGTACTAAAGAAATATATATAGTTAAATCTATTATAAATATACTGTATATATAATACTTGTTAATATGTATATATAATTAAAAAAAAATTATTATAAAATATATCCATAATTATAATTATTTATAATAGTAATTATAAAAAATAACAATTATTAAAATTGTTCTAGCTCCTTAACTATTATCTTAAAATTTTTTATATAATATACTATAAATATAGTGAAATTAAATTCAGATATTTTTCAAAAACTATATTGCTATTAAAAATATAATAAATTAATTAAAAATTGTATTTAATTAGAAATTATATTATTATATATAATAAAAATCAATAATACAATTATATACAGTATATATAATATATTATTTTAAAGCTAAATATTACTATATATTTTTTTAAAAATTTTTTTTTTTTTTTTTAAATGGATAGTTTATACCTTTATTCAAATTATATTGAAATATACATTAATTTCCTTGTCGATACTCGATGCATCTAGAGGTAACTAACTTAA